GAATTTTAAGATTTTACAAATGATTTTCTAAGAATATTTGATTTAATTAATCGAATATCAAATTATTACTCCAAGTCTTTCAAGATCAATTTCAAACCTTACTAAATGTGTAAAATTATGTTTTATACTTAAACTATTTTTAAAACAAATTTTAAAAAGCATTTTGAACTAAAATCAAGCCTAAAATCAATTTTTCAAAGTGATGCACCGATACATCAATCCATGCATCGATGCACCATGGATAAAATTGAACATCAAATGCATTTTATGCATCGATACACATACCATGCATCGATGCACTCAGTGCATTTGATGCATTGATGCACAAACCATGCATCAATGATGTCTGCTATTTTGAAACATCAAATGCATTTTATGCATCGATGCACTCTTAGTGCACCGATGCACTAAGGGTCCAACAGTCAAATATTTGAATTTTACACTTGATGCACCGATGCACCAAGGGTATGCATCGCTGCACTGACGCTCCCAACTGCTTTAATTAATTATTTTCACACTTAAACGACTCTATTGACTCCACTAACCATCCCCAACGTTCATAATCATTTGAAGGAGTATTTAAACAAGTCTAGAAGCCATTGATCAATAACAATCAAGAAGAATCAATAGAGAAACAAGAGAGAAAGCATCAAACATCAAGTTTGTGCAATTCAAGCCAAATTTCCTTTTAATATTCATTTTGCTTTCAAGAACACTATTTTTGCTTATTTGTAATCATCTTTGAGTGTTCTTATCTTGTTCTAGAATTGTGCAAACATATTGCCTTGTGAGGTTTTTCCTTGTAAGTTTGCAAATTTGTGTATTTCTCTTTGAAAAAGAGTGTGCTCAAGAATTGAGGTATAATTCTTGAGGGAGTTGTAAGGTTACTCTTTGTCATCAAAAGAAAGAACAAATTAGTGAATTTGTTGGAAAATCCTTAGTGTGGATAGCTAAGGTAGTGGACTTAGACTTTGGTTGAGAAAGTCGAACCACTCTAAATCGCTGTGCAATTACTTTTAATTTTCTGCAAAAGCTTCCACCGAATTTTTAATTGCCAATTCACCCCCCTCTTGGCCGATTCCATCAATCGATTAACTCAACAATGACAACAGAAGTGGACATATTTTTCTTGTGTGTCCTGGGTTTCTACAATGCCCACATCTTCTATCTTGTCTATATCTTTCTCGAATATCCATATCACAATGAATTCGATTGGATTTTGGACGACCACGCTCCCTCAATAAAGTCAGATTTGGTACAATCGAAAGCTAATCCTGAACCTCATCAGGATCTTTATCATTACCTATGGGGGGAACTCAAATTCGTATACCTTGAAAACTTCATATAGTAGGTATACGGGATCTACAAAACAGTTATAGTCTTGACGTGTATGCGAGCAAGTTGTTATCACATGAGAGCATGGATACTTCAAAGCATGAAAAACCCCGCAATCGCATGTTCTGTCTCGCAGATTTACTCTTAATGACACAACTTCAATCCCTTGAAGAGGTCGTGACAACTCTGTGACATGAAACATTTCATGTCTTCTAGAGAATCTTGTTACAGACATTCCATTTGATGCAACAATTTTTTTTGTAGATCTGCAACTAATCTAGAATGATAGACATGACCGTCATTTGTCCATAACGATATCCACCATCATATGCGTTCGTCCACATTTCTTTATCGATGAGGCTGATGTAATCGTATCATTCCTCGTTTTTCACCTGCAAATCTTGAAGCATTGATTCAAACGTTTGAGGAAGTAGTTCGCAACAATGTGTCGGAGACAATACCTATGTTGGACAAAGGGTGGTTGCCACATTAGACCCAAAGACTCTATTGCTGCTTTGATCCCAGCTCCGCGATATGAAATGACACATTTTTTCCCTCATGATAACATGTGCACGTAAGTTTCGGAGGAAAAAAACCCAAGAATATGTATCTTCTTCTTCAACAAGAGCAAAAGCAACTGGAAGAATGTTGACATTGTCATCTTGGACAATTGCCAATAATAAAACTTGCTTGTATTTTCCATACAAGAAAGTCTCGTCAATCTGGACCATATGCTTGCAATATTTGACAGCATTAACGCACTGTAGGTAAGTCCAAAAAACCCAGTAGAATTGGCATCGATCGTGAAGAACTCGATCATTATGGTATACATAGGAGGTTTTGAAGTCCACAATTATCCTAGGATTCAACCTCCACACCAACCTAAACCAGCCTGGAAGTTCGTTGTAAGATGCATTCTATTCTCCATGAAGTTTGGCAATGGCATTTTGTTTTGCGAACCAAGTTTTTTTATAGGAGACAGTGTACTCATACTGCGATTGTATAGCTGAAATCAACACAACAACAACTATATGAGAGATTGTTTTTACCATGAGCATGATAGCTTGGCATATCACTTCAGAGTCCAAGTTAGGATGATCTTGGTTGACCCCTCCAGCACAACATGTGTGAGGACTGTTGTATATTGTTAATTCTCATCTGTTGTTTTTCCTCTTCCTCTTCGATACGTGAACCATCCAATTGTATCCGTTTTCGCGTCGGACACAGTAACATACATATTTTTCTGTCGTGGAGCGGTCGACTCTTACGGATGTTGTAATTTTTTATAGCCATCATCCCTTCTTCTTTGCTTGAAAACTCCATGCCTAAAGATAACTCACCATTATTTATTGATGAGTAATATCCATAGTTACCGAGATGAGGCATATCCGCAAATTATGGACCGTACATTGCACCATAATCAGCTTCATACATGTGTGTTGGAGGGTCAGTTTGTGCCACATTTGATGGAAATTCATCTACATTATCATCATCATCGGAGTTGAATTGCGGTGATTCTGGGTAAATGAATAATTCAGTCTCAGCACCATCCGCACCAGGCTCACGAAGCGGTTCTTCTGGTGGAGATGATAGTTCCTCTATGCTCTCCACATTTAGGTCGAAGAACCTACTATTTACACGTCTTCCCCTTGAACTAGAAGGCATATCGACATTGAGATCGAAAAAGCTCGCAATTGAATGCCTCTCCCTGGAGCTTGAAGCCATCGTGTCAAATAGAAACTGCACAGATTGTTGTGTCGATGGCATCTCCATATTAAGGTCAAAGAAATTTGCAGATGAATGTCTTCCCCTTGAACTGGACACGATGTTGCCATACGGATTGTTTGTGGACCCACCTCGGTACATATCGTAAGGAGTTGCAGATGAATGTCTCCCCATTGAAGTTGATGTGACAGCACCATGATGTGGATTTCTCATTATGACATTAAAATCATTACACATTACTGTAGTCGGGTTGTCAACTTGATCAATTTGTTCAGCTAGCCCATAGTGGGAGCTTAATGTCTGACCCCGAACAACACGCACTTGAACAAACTTTGCATACATCTCATTATCGGCGTCTGAATAATTACTTTGAGAATTAGCCATCATTTCAACATCATCATTGTTCGATAGTTCGAACGCTGTATAATTTAATGGCAACAATGATGTTGGAAATCTGTACTGCAACGACGACATTCTTCTACTACTTCCAACATGAATCTTCCTCGAAATCTTCGTTATCAGCTCCTTAAGAGTTATGTTTCTCTTGAATGATATTTTAACACGCTCATTTGATACGAAAACAATGCTAGTTTCATCTTCTCGAATTTCTCCATCATAATAAACAATAGCTGAAAGTCGCATAATTCTTAGAGTTTAAAGGTGCGACAATATTATATCTGCAAAAAACACAACTGAAACAAATCTGATTAAATAAATAATATATGAACGAAAATATAACACAATAAAATTTTTACACATAAACATAAATAATTTAAATAATATAATTTTATATTATTACCTGCACCGCAAAAATATTTCGACGAATGCTCCCGCTTTCCCCTTGAACTGACACAGAAATTAATTGAAAACAATTAGTATAATATTTTTTCAAATAATCATAATAAACAATAAGTATAATAAAAAAATATTATGACAAAATTACCTTATAACGAATGATCGAACGAACTTCTGAATCAAATATAAGAGGATTGTCGGGTGTTATTTACTGTTTGAAGGGATTGTTGTATTAATTTCTCGGTTGAGAGGGAATTGAGAGAGAGTTTACGGAGAGAGGGCTATTTATAGCCGAGAGAGGATGCTTTAAAGCCGAGAAGTTTGGGTAAATTATGCAGGGACCGCGCCTTGCATTATGCATGCCTGATAATTGAGCATGTGATAATTGAAAAGCGCGGCCCCTGCCCCGCGCTATAGCCCTACGTGGCGTAAGGCGGCCCTAGGGGCCGCACTTTAGGCACGTATATCCAACTCAGCATAAAGCGCGCTGCAGGGGGAGCACTTTACCCCACGTAGCGTCAGATCAGCGTAAAGCGCGCTACAGGGGGCGCGTCTTACTGCAAAGGGTGTTAGATCGGGAAATATAATCTGAAGGGTATCTGACAGAGAAATATATAAGGTATAGGTGATATATCATAAAAAACGCCCCGCTCTAAGATCTCCAACTGACCAACCTTACGATAGATCTAAGAGTGATGTTTAATCCCAATTGGAAGACCGTCTTTCCAGCTAGCAGATCGAAAAACATATTGAATTCAGCATACTTGTTTGAAGGAATATTAAAAACATGGGTAAACTATGTCAATAATTCCATTTGTTTTTGTCGATTTTGTCCTCCGGATTTTTAATTAAGAACACTTGATCCCTTATGTTATTGGTCTATCCGGTTTAAGTATTTCGTCCGTTAATTTCCGTTAACCAATTAATGGAAGTATGAGTTGGCAATTAAAAAAAAAGGCCCACGTGCTGCAATTAAAAAAAAAAATCAAAAACACCCAATGTCGTCTTCTTCTTCTTCAAAGTCCCATTATCGCGTCCACTGTCGACAGCACTTCCATGGCCTTCGCCTTTAATGTTCTCGGGTGCCAAGTACTCGTGAGTACTAACAAAGGACATCGATCGAGCATTGATAGGTTCTGTAGCCATTAGTCTGGGCGTAAAAAGGGCACATTTCAGGGAATTCTTTGAGAAAAACGATTCAATAATGAGGCTAAACTACTACCCCCCATGTCAAAAACCAGACCTCACTTTAAGAACAGGGCCTCATTGTGATCCAACGTCGTTAACCATCCTTCACCAAGACAGAGTTAGTGGCCTTCAAGTGTTTGTAGACAACGAATGGCGTTCAATCAGCCCGAAATTCGAAGCATTTGTCGTTAACATTGGCGACACCTTTATGGTAACATACCTTTTTCAACTTATTCCCTTACTGTAGTCGATGATCGGTTAAGCTTAGTGGGTTTCTTTTTCTTCTTTCTCAGGCACTGTCGAACGGGAGATACAAAAGTTGCTTGCACCGGGCGGTGGTGAACAGCCAGAAGACAAGAAAATCTCTCGCTTTCTTTTTGTGTCCAGCGGGGGATAAAGTGATAACCCCACCAGCCGAGTTGGTGAACCAAAACAGTCCCCGAGTGTACCCAGATTTTACATGGCCTATGCTGCATGAATTCGTACAGAAACATTACAGAGCCGATATGAACACTCTCCAAGTATTCTCCAACTGGGTTCAACACAGACACAGCTGAACCCTTCTTGTGTCAAAATACAAACTCATGGCATTGAATTGAAGAGATGGGATGCATTCTTTGGTAGTGATGGACACAAGGCAGGACAAGAGATGCAATAAAAAAAACCCAATAAGGACCTCGGATCAGCCTTTCTCCTTTTCTCTTATCCATTGATAATACTGAAAGGCAATCAATAGATTCACCTCTCCTCTTCATGTAAAAAACAAAATTAGCCTACTTAATTACTACTACTACTTTTCTCAAGCGACTTCATTCATTGTGCACACTGGTTTTATATTTTGTCTCATTCTCTTGCTTACGTTTTTCAATTGAACAAAAATCTTAACCACATATGCAAAAACAAAAAAGAAAAAAAAACTTTGTTTCACTCCATGATTTAAGCCTAAAACTCATTAGTTTTTTGGTAACCAAATGTTTCAGGTTCGAACAGGACGTTTGCTGAAATGTTTGAACCTATATGCATATGAAGGAACTCAAGAACTCGTTCGGGTTCGCTCCATCATCTGAATTTTGATTCGAGTCTTTTCCTTCGAGTATAAGCGGGTGATGGTTTGTTTCCTAAGCTCTCAGAATTGAATAAAAGCTTGGAGTCTTCGGTTCGTCCGGTGAGAGCACTGAAGAAACTCAAGCCATTAGGCCATTTGATGTGTTTCCATGCTCAACAATCATGTCTTTCATTCAGGTTTCGGACGAACGTGGCAGTAGGAATGTGGGATTGTGGGTTTCGTCTTTGGGTTGCTGAAATCCAGCCGGGTTCTGAAAATTAGGCAGAGCAAGCATCGGATTAGTTGCTGTCGGGAGTGGCCGTTGGCTCCAATTGAAGAGCGAAGGAGGTGGCCACATTGGAACGGTGGACTGCTTCGAAGAAATCGTCGATAGGGATGAACCATTAATGTTCGACGAAAACAATTGAGACAGATATATATATATATAGACGAAATGAAGGTCTTCGGGTATCTGTGGATTAAAAAACCAGACTTCAACCCCGAAATGCCATGGTAATGGGAGGCAAAGCTTGGGGAAATATTTGAGCAGACGCTGTGAAGCTGCTCAATAAGAAGAGTGAAAGCTGTAGAAGCAAAGCAACTTTAGCAGCCTATCTAAAATTACTAAAATCCATAGTTTTTGGTTAAGCTGTAGAGGGAAAGATGGTTAAGCTGTAGAGAGAGTTGAAGAAGAAGAAGACCCTTGGGTCTTGAGTTTTACCAGTGGGTTTCTGGTTTTTTAATTCTTTATTTTTTAATACTTTAATATGTTAATGGGAGTTAACGTCCAGGGAACTAAAATTCAAATTAATCGATAACGACATCAAACATATTTAATTAAAAAATTAATGACCAAAATAATTAGACCTACGGAAAACAAAAAGAGACTAGTAACATAATTTTCACTAAAAAAGCATTTCCTTTATCGTGACAACTTTGGCTGATATATCCTCCAACAGTATACAATTACGCAATTAGATCGAAAAATAAGTCAATAAGTATATATATCGATGGCAACTGATCGGATTTGGATCAGATCCAGCTATACTCAGATTCAGATCCATTTTTACATTTTGGATCTAAACTGCCCCAGATTTGCAGGAGAAAATTAAGACTCAGATCCAGATCCAACAAATCTCACGAATCCGGGTCCAAAACGAATTTGTTAAAAATGACTATTCAACCTATTTTTAACGAAATAAGATTTTCATTGATTAATTTCACATCACATCTTTAATGGAGGAAATATTAATTTCGATATAACTAGTAACATAATAAAAAACGATAAACTAAAGTCTAAAAAAAACTCCACACAATTACACAAATGTCTTTTGAATAACACAAACATTAAAAAATATAGATCATGAAACATTCAATTGTCACAAACCTAGTTTAAAACTTATAAGAACTCAGACGTCTCCCTCTATATATATATATATATATATATATAAAATAAAGGTGGGCTTTTTAAGACTCATCACAAGGTTAAACACATTACTGCAATCACCATTTGGTCTCTTTGGTTTGCAAGAAATAGATTTATCAATGAACACCAATACCAATCAGAGGAGAATGTTGTTACCCTTGTTCGTAGCCACTGTACGGATATGCAGGATGTTTCCTCCTCACTGCTCAATCCACAAACTCATGTTTTAGCCCGATAGACGCCTCCTCTTGAGCCCACAGCAAAGTTGAACGTTGATGTTTGCTTCTCCTATGCACACCAGAAATCTTGCTCAGGTTTCATAATCAGAGACAGTGCCGGTTTTATTCTTGGATCTGGTTTTATTCACAATCACCACATTGCCTCAGTGTTTATGGAAGAAGCTTTAACAATCCTCCAAGTTATTCATTTTGCAAAAGACATTGGCATCACGAGATTAACATTAGAGAGTGATTCCAAGAAGATAATCCAGAAATTGATTGAGAACACAGCTGATCTTTCTGAGGTCGGACCTATCCTTGGGGATGTAAAGAATGCAGTAGGATCTCTTACCTCGTGCTCGTTCGGCTTCACAGGAAGAAATGGTAACAGGGAAGCGCATGCAATGGCCGTGGAAGGTTCTCGGGTTACCTACGACCAATTTTGGATCGAAGATGCACCGGAGAAAGCCCTTCAAGTAGCAGATGACGACCGTCGTTTCATTGACCCAGCGTGAGTGCCTTTTGGGTCTTTGATTTTCTTTGCAGAGGTTCCTTAGTCTTTTCCAGACTTTGAAGTCTCTCATCTGCCCCTCTTTGGCCTTCGCTCCTTCATCGGTGTACCTTACTAAGGCTGAAGATCTTCGTTTGTTGGCCTCTCAAGAATGCGTTTTTTAGCTTCCGTCTGTTGACGAGGTAACGCTCCTCTTTATTTGGCTTCTGATTTGTTTTTCTCTAGTGGAAACTGTTTTTGTTTATACTTTTGCAATGTGGGGTCAGTTCACTTGGAGAATGTTGAATTTAATGGGAATGAAATTCACATTCTCTCGTTTGGTTAGTTCGAGAATTTCATTCATGGTAATGTAAGATTATCAATAGTGTATTTTTAAGGTATATTACCGGGAATGTCATTACCTTTATTTCCTTAGGTATTGTTGGATTCCCGACGTTTTGGACTAAAATGCCCTTAATTTTTTTTAAATGTCATTTTTCTGTCATTAAATAATAAAAATTCTATGAATGTTAAATTACAAATTTATCCTTAAACTATTTTAGATTTACAAAAAATTCTATAATTAAAATTTTATATGAAATTCAGGGGTTAAAATAAAATTTTACCCTTTCATTAAATATTTTTTTATATTTTCATTTTTGTAAAAAAATTATATAAATTTTATGAGTTTAAATTTTTTAAAGAAAATATATAAATATTTTCTAACTTGTTAAAAAAACAAATATATAATAAGGATAATTTGGTCAAATATATATTCCAATAATCTTTTATTTTTTTAACCAAACACGGTAATCTTACATTCCTGCTAAGCCAACTAAACACAAAATACAACATTTCCAGTAATCGTATTCCCTGGTAATCTTTCATTACGTGAACCAAACACACCCTTAGTGTGTTAATAAATGACCACAAATTACACGTTTGTCAAAATGAATTAAATAAATAAATTCACATATATATTGCGTGGGAATCTTAAATCGACGTATGACTGAAATAATTAACCAAATAATAACAATTTAATAAAAAAACGTATGACTGACATAAAAATAAAAAGTATATAATTAAATTCTTTTTACATATTTATTTGATTAAATTTATTTTCAATCTAATCAAATCATGTATCATTTGATTGAATTGAAAATAAATTGGATATGAATTGAACTTGGGGAGTTTCGAACATGTATTTAATCTATATTTTAAGTATATCGTAGTATTTTAAATTGTATTTAAATTGTATTTAAGATAAGATTTAAAATAAAAATAAATTTAATGTTAGTTTATTATATTTTTAAAAGTAAATATGAAATTATGAAAATAAGTATCATAAAATTATTAAATTTAATTTAAAGATATAAAAATATTATTTTTATTTTTATTTTAAATCTTGCATTAAATATGATTTAATATATATATAGTGTTCGTAATTATAAAATAATATAATATTTGTTTAACTAGTTTAGGTTCTCTTATATTTGATAATTGATCTAGGTTTCAAACCTCATTTGAATGATTTTTTGTATCATTAACATATTATAATAAGTTTGTTGTAATTATTAAACTAGTTAAAGCATTTGGTTTGGGTGCTTCACTCTCACCTTAGGGTCTTAAATTCAAATCATTTTATCTCTAATTTATTTTCAATTAATTCGATACTGATTTGTTCACGATTTGATTGGGATGAAAAAAAATTAAAATAAATAAAAATCCCTCCAATCAAATGCATACATGTGTCAATTGTGACATGCGTCACGATCGTATGACTACACGTATCACCTCCTAAATGAAGGATTAATTTATTAAACAAAATTACAATTAGAACCAAATTGATTAAATATAAAAATACTAGCAATCAGATATAAAATTATATTAATTGTGTTAACTGACACGTTAACACCTCTACTCCAATGCTCTACTATTTAACCAGTGCTCTGATAAATATTAACTAGAATATGACTTGAGTAACAGTTAAGTGATTATATCATTTCAACCAAATTTTGAAAATAATTATCATTCCAACAACACCTATAATTTAATGGTCATTCAATTAGTTTACTTTTAGAAGAATGATTATTGTCTTTAAATTTTTCGAATTTCAACGTAAGATTTTGAATTTCAACATAATATCTACAAAGATATTTGAAATATTATCAAATGACTAAAATCTTTCCAACATTTAAATATTAAATATATTTAAACTATATAGTCAAAAATTTAAACTTACATAATTGAAAAGAGAGGACAAGAATTTGAGTTTACTAAAAGCAAAAGATAACCCTTTCATCCTTTAATGGGACCAAACAAAACCTCCATGATTTTATTTACACAATATGGCACTCACAATTCTACATGCGAAACATGTCGAAGAAAACTGTAACGGTTGGAACAATTTCAATATTCAATAGCTAGGTCTTCTCTGTCTAGGTGCATGTCGTGCTGGTTCTTCATCGCTGCTGGGAAACTCCCATCTCGCGATGACACCGTCCCACGAGGAGGTTATCATCATCGGATAAAATGGGTGCCAACTACAATCTCTCACCGGAGCTTCGTGATGATGGCAACTTGCTACCTGAGCACCACTCACCTACAATGGAATACCATGTCAATGGACAAAGAGATGTTTGCAAGACCATGACCATCGAGGAGAGGCGGTGAGGGGAGAAGAGGAAAAGGGAGCTTACCAGATCATATATATAAACCGAACCATCACTAGAGCCACTGTAAATGTATTTTTGACCAGTGCTGCAAAATTTGATTCCCAAAGTTAGAAAATATACCTCCTAATCCAATGGATGATCTCGAGGGTTAACGTAAGCCATGAACCATCAAGTTAATGACTAAACTGCCTTGCTCGCCCAGACCCCACTCGAATGTTGTATACGTTTTATTCAAAAAACCTAACAGAACAGTTGAAGCTTGAAAAGAGAAAGGGGTCAAAATAACTACTCAATTTGGCCGGTAAATGACATCCATTTGGGTTATGCAACCGACTGGTACTGGTGCAAACCAGCCGGTTAATCCAGGTCACTTTAAGGCCTCTCCTAGGCTAACCATAAGTGACGCAAACTTATCTGTATGGTACATACATCAAGGCAGTTAAACTAAAATACTGATCTGCAATTTGGGGCTTCTCTGGGAGGTTTTAGTTTACCCCGATACTAATGAATAGAGATTGAACCATGTGGCCTGAGGGAGGGTTTTCAGCTGGTTAGATTCAGGCTAAGATTTTAGAAAAGGATTGCGCATGGTTCCAAAACATAGACAAGCAAGCATTATTAATGAATCACAAGTGCATAACTAAACCATGAAATACTTGTAAGAGATTACCTATATGCTGGTGAGAAGTAACAACGAATCAAAGTCCGCAACACTTTGTGGCCTTTCTATGTTGCTAATGACTGATCATGGTGATGTTTCAAGGCTCTTGCATGAGTCGGGTAATCCATCCATCTGTAGTCAAAGTGAGGATCCCTTAGCCTTGGAGTGCTGTCCAAAGAAATTAATATCACTGGTAAGATACACAGGGGGCATGGACAAAAAAAGATGAGCCTTAACCGCTGAAAAATCAAGCAATATTCTAAGTCAAAAGTTTATTAATATCACAGATAAAGCCCATATGTCATATACACAAAAAGGGAAATATCAAGCTTCAAGAAGTAATGCCAAAAATCGCATTAGGTGACAAAGGGAGTTGAATTTAATTACTATGGGACATTGGAGGACATCTTTCGTATATCCCAGAGTTTTGTGGTCTGATCTTTTCCGTTCGAAATGAAATAACGGCCATCTCCACGGCTATCAATGAATGTAATCCCTTCTAGATGCCCTATTAAGACCCCATCTGCTTTTCCTCTAGCGCTAATGGAACGCCTATCCCACACCTGTTCAAGCCAATAAGGAGTTCCTTTAATATACAAAATGATCAGCAAGAGACTAAAGCCACTTTGATTTCAACTGACACTAATCGGAGCATATATAAGATAATCAAAAAATTTCGTAGCCGAGGTTACATTCATCTGCAACGGTTACATAAGTAAAAAATTCACCTTACATAGATGATCATCACTGCCGGAAAATAGGAGATGACCAGTTTCATCGGCAAAGCATACTGTGTTAACATCAGCCTGCGAGAGGAAATTGGAATAGAATTTAGTATCTCTAAGCATCTCCAAGCCAAAAATAATTGAATGCTGGAATGCCCCTTGAACATTTAACAATGCATGGAATGACAAGTAATTGAAATACCTTGTGAGCCAGAATTCGGAGGCTAGGTCTTTTTGCCTCAAGATCGTAAACATATATAGAATTATCATTACTTGCGGCAACAAGCTCTTTCCCATCAGTGGAAAATTTCATAGAGAAGATTCCAATTCCTTCATATTCATCATCATTAGAATCATCAAAAGAGAAGTCCAAACCTTCATGAATTTCCTGCATAAGAAGTGAGTTATAATTTTACTATAGTCATGGGAAACAGCTCAATATGGATAATACGATTTCCAGCTAGCGCTTTCAGAAAAAAATGACTGTTATAGCAATTAGCAATACTAATCCCTCAACCCCATAATCTTTTTGCTTCTTTAGATGCTCTTGAAACTGAAGACTAATTAAGTCCCTCAGATCATCCCGTATAATTATTGCCTAATTCATTTCTAGAAGCCAAAATGGTACTTTCAAGTTGTTTATGTCATGAACATTTGGTGATGTCTATGATGGAAAAGTGTTTGTTTTAATTGGAAAAATTGAACATATACATTCGAAATAACACTATAACCATTTGATATGCATATAAAGTATATATTTTTGAAGTTATTAGCACTTGTAGAAGATACCGTAATATTTGCAATCGACACTGAGGCAGTAGATCCAACATTTACAATGTTAACAATAGGGGATAAACTAGAATACACCTGCATTATAAGCAATCAAGTTAAATGAAATGAAACCAAAACAAAGAGTGAAGAGGGGCAATATAATCAAAGAATCAATAACTAAAATATTAAGTCA